ACTCGCCACTCCCAGGGATCGTGACCCGCTATCACCATGGCTCATGGCCGGCCACCAGCGCCTAGAGACGGGCCCAGGAGCCTCCCTGGAGCCTGGCTTTCCCAGCCACAGGGAACGTGCTCTGGGCCCAGGAGTCCACCTCAGAGGCCACCTCCAAAGGCAGCTGTGGGCGACTCTGTATAATGTGCTGGTGACAGGCTGTGGTTTGGGGACAGACCCTGCCCTACAGCCTGGATCTTGGAAAGAGGTGTGGAAGAGAGTCACAGGCAGCCCGCACCCACCTAACAACAAGGGAGAGCGCTCCATCGTTTCTGTAAATGACAGAGACTCAGGGGATACTTGTCACAACAGCATAACCTATCAAACACTGACTGATACAAAAGCCAGCATTTACATAGCTTTTACCGTGGGCAGGCACAGTTCTGAGCATGTTCCATGTATTACCTCATTTAATCCTCTCAACATCTCTGATAAGATAAGTAGCCCCCCCCCTTATTCAGGGTAGATACATTCTAAGACCCCCCCAGTGGATGCTTGAAACTGCAGATAGAATTGAATCATGAATCTATTATTTCTTCCTATCTGTTCCGACTATAGATCATACCAACTTAAGCCTACCATTTTTTTCTTGCCTCCTAAAGTCAAGAACTTTCACCTTTTCACTTAAAAAGAAGCACTTTATGGCTTCTTTTTGACATGTGGGACATATCAGAGTGACAGTAGGACTCTTCTTGCTCCTTAGGACCATTACATAAAATAAGGGTTACTTGAACACAAGAACTCACCGTTTATCTGATAGTCAAGATGACTCTAAGTGACAGGGGGGTAGCATATACAGCACGGACACACTGGACAAAGCACGATTCTTATTCCTGGTGAGATTTCAGCACAATGCTCAGAACAAGGTGGAATTTAAAATTCATGAATTGTTTATTTCTGGAATTTTCCACTTAGCAGTTTCAGGACATGGCAAACTTCAAGTAACTGAGACTTGGGAAAGCCAAACTGAGGGTAAGGGGGACTCCTATAATCCTTCTCACAGATGACGTTAGTGAGGTCCAACTGGTTGGGAATCACGTCCAGAGCAAGATGTCCTAGCAGGTCTGGGCCCCGAACCAAATCTAGCCATCTCGAGTGAAGCAGGGTTGTTCCCCACCCCCACTTTCCAGCTGGAGAGGCTGAGGCTCCCAGAGAGGCAAAGCCACTTGCCCCAAGCTACACAGCATCCGCCCCTTCAGTCACGTGACTTGCCACCAGCCATACAGAAAGTCGGGACAGAGCGTGCCCACGTGGAGCTCAGAGCTCCCCACTGCATCGCATCGCCCAGGCGGGACCTGCGAGCCTCAGGTGTCCCCAGCACAGCTGGTGTCAGGGGCCACCCTCCGAGAGCCCCTGCTCCCCCTCAAGGCCCAACCTTTCGTTCCAGGAGCCCCTGGCCCTGCTCAGCGCAGGGGGAGAAGGCAGGGCTGCCTGCGCCCCGCGCCCCGGAGCTTCCTGACACTTGTTAATATCCACCGCTTCTGTGCGCGAGGGTCTGGTTCGCATTAGCACCCCAGGCCTGGGTCGGATGCAGGGCTTGGGCTCCATCCAAAAAGTGTCCGACTCCAGGGGGCCTTCTCACTACTTATCTAACATGGAACATCAAATGGTTTGATCTGCCAATTAGGCTCCCCAGGAGCTGCTAACCGAAAGCAGATGGCGTCGGATACAGTCTTGCAGGGATGTGCGCTTTCCTCCCCTTCCCCGCCCCGACACCTCCAGGTGGCCTCCTGAGCAGGGCTGGGCCCAGCGAGGATGAGCCTCACCACCTCTCCCCACCGGAGGGCGCTGCTGCTTCTGATGAGGAAGGGGGCCATGGCCCAGGGGTCCCCGATCCCCTGCATCTGCCCGTCCTTCCCTCGGGCGGGCCAGCCTGGGAGGCCCGTGAAAATCAGGTCAGCACCGGCCACTAGGTTGGGTCCCAGGCCTGCACAGAGGCAGAGGGATGGTGTGAATGACCTCAGCATGTCCTTTCTGACTCTTCAGTGGCCCCAACCCACCACCCAACAGCCGTCCCAAGTAGCGACCCCCCAAACCCCGTTTCCATCTCCTCCCCAATCCCACCCCAGAGCCAGTGGGTCAGAGCTGGTGGGTCCCCAGGAAACATTCATGTGGGCCCAGCCCCAAGGCCACCACGGTCAACACCAGGCCCCATCCCGGCTTACCTGGGCCTGGTGACAACTCTCAAGGGGTCTCCTGGGCTCCTTGGTCAGACCCTTGAGCCATCGCCCACACCCCTGTCTCCTCTCGAAGCCCAAATTCCTTGATTTGTTGGGCACTAACTGGTGCCAGCTTCCTGTGGGCGCTTCACAGTTTGGGTTCCATTTAAGGAGAATTTCTGGTAACTGGAGCTGTCCTCAGTGAGCCTCCCGTCACGGGAGGAGAACAAGAAAGGCTTGAGGCCCGAGCCCTGGGGCTTTAGAAGGCAGCGTGTCCCCTAAGGTCAACAGGGTTCCAGGATTCTCTCCTCCAGTGGTGGTCCACGAGAAAGGACAGAGAAATGAGGTCATTATCTACTTTTTTCAAAAAAAAAAAAATTAAACCAAAGCATCAGAAGCAAGAAAAGAGAATTAAGAGATTAAAGCTCCCTGAGCCGCTGACAATCTGGTCCCAAGGGCAAGGGGGACGGGACACAGCCACCTCCAGGACCAGAATATATGAAGCTGCCCCCCCAAATCTCTGAACCCCCCTGGGAAGGAAGTGGGGGTTCCAGAAAGGCCCCAGCAGGCCCTCCTTGGGGTCTGTGATGTTGACCTTGGTCGCCAACTTGCCTGGACTGAGAGACACACCTAAAAATGGGTAAAGCCACTTCCTAGGCCTGTGAGGGCGTGCCCACCGATGATTGGCATGTGGGTTAGCCAATAGGGGGGAAGACCCATCCCGAAGGTGAGCCGCTGAAAGGGGCTGAATGGCACATGTCCAGGACGCTGGAAGTGGCCACCCAGAGGGGACGAGGCTCAGATGCCCAGGGCTGGGCTCCCCCCTCAGACCCAGCTGTCCTTCCTCTCTGAGCTCTCACATCCGGCCACTCCTGGAGCTGCCCGGCTTCCCCCAACCCACCTCTCCTCCGGCTTCCCACACCTGCCCCCCTCCACACCCCAACTTCCCACACCTGCCCCCCTCCACACCCCAACTTCCCACACCTGCCCCCCTCCACACCCCAACTTCCCACACCTGCCCCCCCTCCACACCCCAACTTCCAACTCTTCTCCGTCCTTGAAGTCTCCGTGCATCTCCCCCAAGTCCTCCCTGATCACTGCACCCACCACCCACCTCCCTACAATCTGAATTCCCTCCCACAGTACAGTCCCCAGCTAGGGAGATTTCCCATCATGCCCGGGGGTTCCTGGACCCGCCAGGCAGGGCCATCCAGTCACTTCATCAGGATGAGGGCTCTGATGTGGCTCCTGGGCAGGAGTGAGCCCAGGAGTGACCCTGAGTGAGCTCCACCACCTCTTCGAGACCTTTTGTTCCCACCATCTATAAAACAGGGGTCATGACAGTACCTGGCCGATAGTTTGGTGGGGAATAGCTGGGTAAAGTAGTAAAATTCTTAGGAGAGAACCTAGCACTAAAAGTCCCCTCTTGTCCTCCTTGTGGTCAACATGATGGCATGACTGTATGTACAACTGCAGCCAGCCCCTGTATCCGAGGTATGTGGTATTTGCATTGAGCTAGGTCCCACAGGGAACCCAGAGGTGATTCACAGTTTATGGGGAGGCGTGTGTAGGTTACGCAAATACCACCCACTTTACATGAGGCTTTGAGCATCCTCAGATTTGGGTATCCCTGGGAGGCCCTGAAACCAAACCCCTGTGAAGACCGAGAGATATACATCTGTTTCATATTTCTAAACACCTCTTGGGACCTGGCACCCAAGGCGGTACTGATTTCAGGGGGCCGTGGTGAGGGAACCAGTTGGGAGCAGAAGGAGAGGGGTCAAAGGTGATTTGCCATCAGGATGCATGGCGCACCTGTTCTTCTGGCTCCAGAAGGAGGCCCGGGGAAGAAAAATAGGCACCACCCCACCATTATGAAGAAGTGACTTTAAAAAGGAAGGCCACCCCCCCGCATGCCAGTGACTCTAGCCAAGACCCCACCACCCACTGCCTTGAAGGGTGAAAGAGGTGAACCAGGGACCAGGAGGAGGCAGCCCGCCCTCCCAGCTGTCAATCAGCTCATGGAAGCTGTCTCTGCTGGGGTCAGTGCTGGACGAGCTGCATCACTCCTGGGCAGTGCTGGGAAGGCCCACAGGCTGCAGGGAGCTCGTTCCTCTCCTGAGCAAGGAACCCCCGATCCCGGCCCTCCCGCCTGCAGGCTGAGTGCCCTGAGCCAGTCACTCGTCCCTCTGGGCAGCCTCTCAGCACTAGAGGTCTGTGAGCCGAGAGGGGCCAGGCCTGACCCCTGCCTCCGGGAAAGCCAGGGCCCCTCAGCCGCTGGAGTCCACCAGGGAGTCCACCACGCCCCACGGCACAGCTTCTCCAGGATGCAGCATGCAGACGTGGTCAGGCCACAGCACGCTGGCTCTGTGGCTGCCCAAGGCCTGGGTCCCCCAGGCAGCAGCAGGGCTCTGGGGACATTGGAGGAGGCTGACTTCCTACAGAGGCCAGCATCGCAGGCCGGGCATGGCACACCCTGGAATCTGGCCATTAGAAGGCCAGACGCTCATGCTGTCCTGATGTGTCAGGGGTGGGTCAGTTTGCAGAAGGTGGCGTTTATTGAGCACCTACAACATTACCTCTGACCCCCAAGTGTCCCTCAGAAGGAACGCGTGTTCCCATTTGGAGGTGAGGAATTGAAGGCTCGGGGACAGTAAGTAACTGACCCAAGGTAACGGAGCTGGGTGGGGGAAATGCTGGGACAGAAACCAAGCCCTCAGGGTCCACCTGTCCTTCCTCAGGAAACCTCTGGAAACAGAAAGGAAGACCGTCCATTTTGCCAAGAGAGGTTTATTCCCAGACACATATGAAGCACCCTCTGTGCCCAGCCGTCACCTAGAACATGGAGGCCCGGTCTGGGCTCTTTGGGAAAGGGATTGACGCCACGCAGCACGTGGGGGCTCGCGCAACCCCAGCCCCCATCAGCACGGGAAGCTCAGCCTCCAGCAGGACTCAGGGCAACGAGCTAGAGCTGCAGGTGCCCAAGGCGACCACCAGGTGGCGGCAGTGAGCCGCTAAATCAGCCTTTGTCCTTGGAGACCAATAGGTCACCTTGGGTCATGTCTACTAGAAGCAAGTGGCAGCGCCTGACAAATGAAACAGCTCAAGGGGAAGGGACAAAGTGTGGACATTTTTAGGCATCCGTCCCCAAGTGGGTAAGCATGGCCAGGCTGCAGAGAACCTCAGAGGAATGCCAAGTGACCGACCGGGGCGAGGTGGGAGTCCTCGGGCATGACGGCCACGTGTCCCTCTGAGACCCTGGCCCCGTCTCCCCTCGCCGAGGCCTCATCGCAGACCCAGCGGCAGGGCTAGTCCTTCCTCATGGTGTAGCCCTGGATCATGCTGTTGAAGTAGGCTGTGGTGTTGCGCTCGGGGTAGAAGAGGATCAGGTAGCACTTGGGGCCGAAGTACCCCAGGGTGATGGCCAGGAAGTTGAGCACCGTGACCAAGACGTCCATGATGGTGACCAGCACGCCGTCGTGCACCGACATGAAGGTGCAGAGGGAGACGGAGGAGGTGAAGGAGAAGGTCATGCTGAGGGTGATGAACCTGGCCTCGTTGTAGTTGGTGGGCAGCTCCTTGCCCAGGTAGGCGAAGGTGAAGCCCACCACGGACAGCAGCAGGTCCATGCTGGTGTTGAAGAGCAGCCCGTTGCGGTAGTTGGGGTGGCAGGAGACGATCATGACGTTGTGATCTTCGGGGTCGGAACGGACGGTGGGGTTGGTGCTGGTGCCCAGCATGTTGCCCACCACGATGGCCGCCTTGATGGCCGTCATGAGCGCCACGAAGGCGTAGGGCCCGTGGTAGCGGACCCAGAAGCCGTAGGCCCGCGGGAGGTGGCGGGCCATCTTGAAGACGTACATGATCTGGAAAGAGCGCGCGGTGATGCAGGAGATGCAGACTGTGAAGCAGAGGGTGAAGAAGGCCTGCCGGCACAGGCACCGGAAGGCCGAGGGCGGCCCCACGTACACCCACGCCATGGCGTAGGCCAGCAGCAGCGGCCCCAGCATCAGGAAGCACATGGGGCCCCCGGCCGAGCGCACCATGGGCGTCGGGAAGTGCCACCAGAATATGACCAGGGTGGCCAGCGTGCTGAGGAAGCCCAGGGCGGCCAGCATGGCCACGATGATGGTGGGCGCCTCGTGCCACTCGAGGAAGGTCAGCCGCCGCTGGAAGCAGGAGGTGTCTTTCCTGTGGGACCACGAGGAGCTCGGGCAGGGCTGGCACACATACTCATCTACAAAAACCCACAACAGCCCCTGTCAGTGCACCTGCCTCCGGGCCCAGCCCCAGGCCAGAGACGGTAAGGGGCTCCTGCAGGCAGGGTCCACGCCGCTGGCTCTCCAAATGCCCCTGAAACTCCATTCCACAGACGAGGAAACTGAGGCCCAGCCAGGCTATGTGATTTTCCCAAAGCCACACAGCACATAAGTTAAAGAGGCAGGATTTGAACCCAGGTCCCCTTGACTCAGAGCCTTCCAACTGTAGTTCCTCCTGAGACCCGGCCTCTGGCGGGAGAGACATCAGCCTCCTCAAGGAACCCCTCGGTCAGCACTGTCTCTAGCACTGACCGCTGTGGCAGGCACCTGGGTTGGAGGGCCCCGGAAAGCGGGTGAAAACCAGCCCCCGGGAGGGGAAGGCCCGCGGAACCTTCCATGAGCTCGGGAGGACGAAGCGAGCGCTTTATCAGGAGCCGAAGCCTCTCACTCAACTCGCCATCAGTGAAGTCATAACATAAAACTGTGGAGACTCGACTCTGAACCGCGCTGACACTAAGTGGTCACAGAGGTGACATTCCCCCGGAGCTGGTGTCTCTCGGGAAAGATGCTCATTCCTGCAGTCAGCGCCGCCCCTGAGCCGCCACTGGGCTCCGCACCACCCCGGGCACGCAGGGGCCAGAGAGCGGTGGGCGGGTGCTGCCCGGGTCGGCCGACCGTCCTTCTGTGGGGAGAGCCACTCGCCCGCTCACCTGCGCACCGTCGAGTGGACACTCTCTGCCTGAAACCCCAGCCCGGGCTGTGTGCAGGGGGAGCACGGCCCCATGGCTTCTCCCCACCAGGTAACGGGGAGCCACACGAGGAATCAGACGTGGTCCTGGCCTTGGGACCCGCACCTCCCAGGGCAGGACAGGGCCAGGCAGGTCTGGTTGAAGGGTGGGACGGGGCAGGGGTGGGTCTGCGGCCTGGCGGGGGCTGTACCTGAGGTCTGGTTGCGGAAGGTGCCCGGGGAGCAGTCGATGCACTCGAAGCAGCAGGGGTGGATGCCCACTGGCCTCTTCCTCTGTCCCAGCTCACAGTTCTTAGAGCACATGGACGTGGGGACCTGGGGGGGCAAGAGACCCTGAGACCCTTTCCCTACTCGGGGCCTCCATACTCTCCCCAAAGAGTGGGGTGCTCAGGGGAGGGAAGCCTGGCCCTCACTAGCAAAGGGACAGAGCCTGGAGTCGCCGTTAGAACTGTAGCTTTGAAGGACCCTCTTAGTTTTACCTGCCCGAGACCTAGTCCACCTTCCTCTGCTGAAAGCATTCAACTGTTGAGACGGAGACTCTCTGAGGTTGCTGAGAGGACAGGAGGCAATCTGGAGCTGCTGGCAGCCATCTTGTCACAAAGGGGACAAAGCACCCAAGAGATGGAGAGAGTGAGACCCTGGATCCATCCTTGCCTGAAGCCCCACAGTCTATCTCTAGAGTTTTCAATTATGTCAGCAATAAATTAACTCTTTGCTACCATGATCTTCTGTCACTTGCAACCAAGACTGTCAGTGAGCACGTCCTTCTGGAGGGGCAGGGTTTCAGGTAGAGAACAACAGCTGGGCAAAGACAATCTTCGCTAAGATTTCTAGAACCTAGAAGAATCCAGCACAGAGGAGGCCTCCAAGCCTCATGCATCGAGAGGACGGATTGGCGTGGAAAGGAAACGGTAAGAGCGACAAGGTAGGAGAGGGGGACATGACCAGGAAGCTGCAGATGGTGGCAGTCGGCGTGTGCGGGCCGAGCTGACAAGTTAGGAGGGCCCATTCTGAACTCATCTGGGACACACCAACAATGTGGGGCGGAGGGAGACAACCAGGGCTGTCAAGTGTGCAAGCAGCCTGCTGGGTTTGGGCTGGGTGAAGATCATTCTGGTGACAAATTAGGACAGTGTCACAGAGTTCACAGAAGAAGAGCCCAGGGCCCAGCAAGGGGAGTCGCCGTGGGACACCGGGCCCCAGCGCCCTCTCTGCTCAACCCTGAAGTCCGGGTCCTCTGAGGTCTCTGTCTTCGTGTTCCACCCCTCCTGTCCTCTCGTGCATGGACATCAGATGACATTTCCAGATTTCTTGTCACCCTCCCTCACACGTCCATCATGAGAAGGGTCCCCTGGTCTTCTCCGCCTGGCACATGACCTCTCACGTGCAGGGATGTGTACACCAACATGCACGCGCACACACGCGCACACACACCCCTCACGCAGACCGACCACCGGGCAGCATCGCCGTGTATCCTCTGCCCACTCCTACACTGGACAGTGTGGGAAGCCATCCTGACACGTGACTGGGCGGCTCCCGTTAAGGGTCTGAGGCGTTCTGGCTGTGTCGGAACTTTCCCGGCCCTTTCCTGATGAGAGAACCCGTCCGTGTGGGGTGTGACTGACCACTGACCCCGGGGGCCCAATCACTGACCCTGACCTTGGAGTGCAGTCCCCCCTCAACCTTCATTGGATGGAATTCTCCCCTGAATTTCTTGTTCCCCAATAAAAGGCTACTCCCTGGCGTGTCCACTCTCTCTCTCCTGCTAGCCCTGAGTAATCCTTGCTGCCCTGCTGGGCGGTTAGAGGTCGGAGCCAGAGAGGGGAGCCGTCTCGGACCTGGCCATAGAAATAAGGTAACTGAGTCTGTGTGTTTTATTTCGATCTCTTCTAGCTAACTTTATGCCAAGAACCTCATTAATGAAACCATTGCACAGGCCGCATGGTGGAGGACAGCCTCTTCATCCTCTCCCAGGTAACCAAATCCATCCTGCCTCGTGCCCTGGAACCTCGTCCTGTGGACATTCACTCACTCAGAAAGCCACTGGGCACCAGGAATAGAGCAGTGACTAATGGGTACAAAGATCCTGCTCCAAGGGGACTTAGGGGAAGAGAGACCGAAACATGAAGTACGACAGACCACGGTTATAAATACCGTGAAGAAAATCAAAACCGTGTGAAGGGGGTAGGGAACGTTGGGGAGCAGCCTGCGAGGTCCAATGTGCAGGTGAGAAAGGCCTCACTGAGCAGGTGATCCTAGAGCAGAGACCTAAAGGGAGAGGGAGCACATCGGGGCGCAGGTTGCTGGGAGACTGAGCCCTAATCCCAGGATCCAGGGATGCTGCCCCTCCCCCTCCCCCCACATCCATCAGGCTCCTGCACAGTAACCCAGGCTCACGGTGCCAAGACCTGCATGGCCCAGACTTCACAAGAAAGAGTCCCTAGGGAAGCCTAAGGGACACGGGAGGAAATTTTAGCTTATGACCCCACAGTATATAAAACAGTAAAAATAGCCTAACTCCTATCCAGAGAAGCCTAAAATCTCATACTAAAAATATTGATCTCAGTTCCTTTTACCTAGTCCATCACGTCTGGTTTTCACTAAAAAAAAATCACAAGGCATGCTAACTGGCAAAAAAAAAAAAAAGTCTGAAAAGACAATACAGTCATTAGAACTAGACTCAACTATGACCAATATTTTGGAATTATCAGAGAAGGGATTTAAAACAACTGACTAATTGGCTAAGAGCTCTACTTGAAAAAGTGGGCAAAACAAGAAATGATGAGTAATGTTGGTAGAAAAATGGAAATTCTAGGGAAGAATGAAAATGTAATGCTAGAAACAAAAAGACCCAAGTAAAATAACAGAAATATAAAGTGCCACGGTGGGCGCATCGGTGGGCTTGAAGATCTGTCAACGGAAATTTCCCAAACTGAAAAACAAAGAGAAAAACATAGGGGGTGGGGACCAGAATATCTAAGAACCAGGGGACAATTACATCCCAGAAGGAGAAGAGGTAAAGGTACAGAAGGACTTAAGGTAATAGTGCTGAAAATTTTCCAAAATCAGTGACAAACACAAAAGCACAGATTCAGGGAGCTCAAGAACACCAAGCAGAATAAATGCCAAAGGAACTACACTGAACACATTATATTCAAACTGCAATAACAAAGACAAAAATCTCAATGGAAGCCAGAGGGGAGAAATACCAACAAATATGGTTACTAGAAGAAAAGAGAGAGATTTTATAATAATAAATACCTAGTCCATCAAGAAGATACAGCAACTATAAAATAAACATGTATGCCCCCAACGAAAGAGCCCAAAAATACATACAGCAAAAAAAAAAAAAAAAAAATCAGAATTTTGAAGGCATAGACAATTCAGCATATAATATTCAACAATAGGTGGTAACTTCAGTATTCTACTTGCAGTAATTTACAGAACTAAACAGAAAATCAACAATGAAATAAAAGATTTGAACAGCACCATCAATCAATAAAACCCAGAGAACACTTACACGGATCTTCCTAAGAGCAGTGGAATACATAATCTTCTCAAGTGCATGTGGGACTTGTTTGTGTGGGTTGGCTGCCAGTCACTGTAAGAAAATGCCTGAGAAAGCCAATTTAGAGGAGAAAATATTTATTTTGGCCCAAGGTTTCAAAGGTTTCAGTCCATGGCCAGCCAACTCCATTATTTATGGGCCTGGGGGTTGAGGGACTAGGACATCATGGCAGAATGATGTGGTGGGGCAAAGTGGCTCACTTTCAGGGTGGCCAGGAAGCAGAGAGAGAGAGAGGAAAAGTCCAGGGTCCCCCAGTGACCCAGGTTTCCCCACTAGGCTCCACCTCCTAAGGTTTCCACCCCCTCCCAATAGAGTCACCAGCTGGGGACCAAGTCTTCCACACATGAGTCTCACCCCAGATCCAGCTATGACAGGTCTCCAGGACAGGCTGCATAGCAGGTCACCAAACAACTTTTAATAAATTTAAAAGGATTGAAATCGTGCCAGGTGTGTTCTCCAACCACACCGTAATGAAATCAGAAATCAACAACAGAAGGGAATTAGAGAATTCGAGACCTTAAATAACACACCCCTAAACAACAGTGGGTCAGAGTGTTCACAAGGGAAAGTAGAAAACACTCTGAGACTAATGAAGATTCAAACACAATCGACCTTCACAAAAAGACGACTACTGTCGGAGTCCACTTACACGAGGTCACTGAGGTAGTCAAACTCAGAGACAGAAAGTGGGATGATCATTCCCAGGGAGCCGGGGGCGGGGGCATGGGGTCATTCACTGGAAACCCAAAGCTGAGTTTCAGCTTTGCAAGATGAAAAATTTTAGAGAGCTGTGGCCCCGACCCATCACTATATTGTACACTTAAAAATGGCTAAGACGATGCATTCGATATGTTTTTACCATAGTGAATAATTTCAAAAATTTAAAACAGACCCAAACTTATGGGGAGCCGTGAAAATAATATTTGGAGTAGTTATAAAAATAATTTTTTTTAAAAGATGTCAAATTACTAACATTCGCTAGCTTATCATGCAGTTAAATTTACTCTGCTGCTCTCTGTCACAAGGTAGTCTGCGTGGAGCTTGGTCACCTTGACCTGGCAGGTCACCTGGTCCACGGTACCCATCTTCATGCTATCAGGATCTTTGAGTAGGAAGTAGCCAGTACTTTTTTTTTTGGTACCGGGGATTGAACTCAGGGTCACTCACCCACTGAGCCCCATCCCCAGCCCTATGTTGTATTTTATTTAGAGACAGGGTCTCACTGAGTTGCTTAGTGCCTCGCTGTTGCTGAGGCTGGCTTTGAACTCTCGATCCTCCTGTCTCAGCCTTCCTAGCCGCTGGGATGACAGGTGCGCGCCACTGCTCCCGGCACCAGTACTTTTTGTTTATGTCCAAGGAAGCACTGCAGATGCCAGAGGGTAGAAGAAGAACCCTGGAGCTTAGGGGGCACAGCTTAGGGGTCCAGTGGTCTGGGGAATGCCAGGCATCCTTTCTAAGGTGGGAGACTGGTCACCCCTACCCCCCTGCCATGACAGTAGGGCACTTGGTGAACCGGTTGTTTGGATTTGGGGAACACACAAATTGTTCTTGGAAATTAACCTGAAAAGGCTGTCCCCTCTTTACCAGGTTCAGGGGCTCCCGGTTTCAAAACACAGAAAGTCACATGCCCAGACAAAGAAAGCCCTGGCTTCTGTGCCGGCTATTCTGTCCCTCAGGGTAGGACACCAAGCAGATGTGACCATCTGAGCGTGGATGCGGGTTGATGAATCCAACCCCAGAATCCTGCTGGGCTGTCCTGGATCCTAAGCACCTGACCCCAGGACGCCAGGTGACCATCAGCTTCTCAGGCCCGGGGCGGGGCAGGAACCACAGATAGAGACAGCACGAGAGCCACCGGCGCGAGGAGACGCCTCGTGTCGGTGCCTGGGACTCGCGTCCCGGCCTGGGCTCCCTCTCCCCGTGGTCAGCCCAGCCCAAGGCCGAACCTTCCCACAGCAGAGACCAACGTTGAGCCCCTCGGTGGCCCCGTTCCTGAGGCAGACAGCTGGCCACTCGCTTCAGACCCCGGCCACCCTCATCCAGGTGCTCAGACTGAAGGACGTCCTCCCGGGACCCCACACACCTCAGGGGATGGGGTGGCATGCCAAGGCTCAGCAGGCTGCCTTCAGGGTCACGCCTGTGGGTGGGGACACTGCCCTGGGGGGTGAGGTACACCGAATGAATGGCGGGCGTCCAGGGCCACAGCACCAGGAGCTGGGTCTTGCGGGCCCTCGGGGAGGAGAGGGCATCCACCACTATTCTCAGGGGCCCATTGTGGACTTGGCACGTTGCCTCCGACCATCCTAGACCATAGCAGGCAGGATCCCGGTCCCCTCAGGGGATGCCCACCACAAGCACCGCAGGGCTCTGCGGTCACCGCCTGGCATTCTGGGGTCCTCATGCCAATGAATGGCAAGCCCGAGAACGGAGGAAGTATGAGGGCCCAGAGAGGGGCGGGTGGAAGGGTGGTCTGGAGTCCGGGGCGCTCACAGGGAGCCTTGGGGTCACTGCTAAGGCGCAGCGGCAGCAGGTGCAGCCGCAAGGACAAGGTAGCTGAGGGCTCAGGCCAGTGATCTAGAAGCTGTGGCACTCACAGGGTCAACTCCCACTGACTCCTGGCCAGGGGACGGCAGCCAGCAGGTCAGTGCTGCCCTCTTCCGTCCCTCGGGAGGCAAGGTGGCTCCTCAGAAGGGCCTGGGAAGATGGGGCTTCACTGGCTCAGGCAGTGTCCAGTGGAGGACCTCACTGGGACTGACCGTCCCTCCTCCCTAGTGGACTCTCTGGCCTCTTCCATCCCCAAGGAGAATATTCTGGGCTCATCTCTTATCTCAGATTTCTGAGGAGACCCAGGCTCATACAGGGGGAAGCAGGGGCCTCTGCCTGCTGTGTCCCCTTGAAGTCCTAACCCCCAGGACCTCAGTAGGTGACCTGATGGGAAAGAGGGTCACTGCAGACACATTAAGTTAAGATGAGGACATATGAAAATGGGGTGGTCCCTAACCCTCTATGACTGGTGCCCTTCTACAGAGGGGACATTTGGACTCAGACGCACAGAGGAGAACAGGAGGCCTGGCGAAGGGGAAGAGGTGATGGAGGTGGAGCGTCCACAGGTCAGGTTTGCCAGAGAGGGACGGAAGCCTCCAGAAGCCAGGAGGGGGCCCGCAGCGTCACGGCCCTGTGCAGGAACCAGCCCGCGACAGCTGAGCTCAGGCTTCCAGCCCAGGACTGTCTGCTTCCGCCCAGTGCTCGCTGCAGCCCCAGGCTCCTCTGGAACCAGGGAGAGTGACAAAGGACCTTGGAGATGCTTGTAGGTCCTGGGTCCCCTCCCCAACTCCACCAGGCTGCTCTCTATCTCACCGGCTCCTGCAGAATTCTGTTTTATGGTCTCTTTTCCAAAGAGGGTAACACAAATAGCTGCAGATGGGCAGTCACCAGACACAGTCGAGGGCCTGGCTACCAGGACAAAGCCTGAGACTTCAACGACAGGCTGAGCAGAGTTCTATATACAGGGAAGCTCCACTGTGGACAAGCTGTGTGGGCTTAGGCAAGTCAAGCAACCTCTCTGTGCCTTCAGTGTCCTAACCCATAAATTGGGAAGATGTTAGCCTCCATCCCCTGGGGAATGACAGGAGAACTGAAGTCCTTGGCGCACACAAGCTCAGTGAAGTTTACTTGGCAGAGGCCCCTGCATCCCCCTGACCACCCAGTTCTCCATCAACAGGGAAGGACAGGACACAGACTGTAGGACAAACAGAGACCCCCACCCCACCCACCCACGCTGAGTTCTGGGTTCCCTCCTGATAAAAAGGGCCCTGCCACCCCAGCACGAGCGCCCAGGCCACCCACTGCCGGTGCCCGGGGCTGACCGTGTTGTTGTGGGCGTGCCAGGAGATGTTGAGGATGTTCCTGAGCCGCCGCTCCGCGGGGTAGTAGGAGGCGACGCTCGGGAAGGGGTTCAGTGGCAGATCCCATCGCCACTGGATGACGTCCAGGCGCATGGGCACGTCCCCTTGCTGGTCAAAGAAGATCTGGTTGCCCAGGAGGGTGAAGTTGACCTTCCAGATCTTCTCGAGTAGCTGGAGCGGTCAGAGGGAGGGAGAGAGAAGCGGAGCCGGCGTCAGTCTGGCCAGTCCCGAGCGAGGGCACCACCCCACAACCGCGGGCTCCACCCACAACCGCGGGCTCCACCCACAACCGCGGGCTCCACCCACAACCGCGGGCTCCACCCACAACCGCGGGCTCCACCCACAACCGCGGGCTCCACCCACAACCGCGGGCTCCACCCACAACCGCGGGCTCCACATCTGTAAATCCGGGCAGGAAGTCCTCAGAAAGAAGCCATGTGGGAGGCTCTGGGGTCCGAGGGCTCTGGCCTTGGAATCAGGAGCACTGGGTCCTGACCCTAGCTCTACCACTTGCCCTGAGGCCCCACACCTGTCACTTAACCTCTCAGAACACAGTCTCCTCTTCTCCAGAGTGGGAGCAGCAGGGCCCTATGTCTTCTGGGCTCTGAATTAATCTACACCAGGGGCATACAGAGTGCCTGAGAAATAGCACAGACTCCCCTCCCCGGGACCCATGTAAGGGGTCCCCTTTTCCCTGTAAGTCACCACGGTCATCCTCAAGAGGCCCAGAGCGCACTGTGTCTCTCACCCACAAAGGCCAGCAGGGGATTGCCCTGCTCCCTGGGTCCTCCCTGTCTCCCCATTCCTTGGGGTCAGCTCTGGTTGTAGTCCCTACCCACCCCCAGAGACTGGTACTAAGTGCAGCGTGCTCTGAATGGGGCATCCTCTGGCCTGAATTCCAGTCCTGCCTCTTGTCTTCAATTTTCTGTGTGACTTTGAGCAAGTCACTGAACCTCTTTGGGCTGACCCCAAAAGAGCCTCCAGCTGAGATAGCCTACCAATCTGTCTCCTAGATTTTCTCCTCCATAGATGGGATGATCTGTTGGGCTACAGGGGATCCAGGGCTCCCTCCATCTCAGGGTCTGGCAGAGTGAAAGATCCCTAAGCGAGCTGGTCCTAGTCCTCCCTTCCCTGCTCAGGGGGTGAGGTCCTGGCTCTGGACCTGTTGAAGAGCAGAGATGTCCAGTAGCAAAGCACAGCACGTGCATCTCCGACTCCCCTCTGCTTCCCCGACCCTCGGTAAAACCTTCCACAGGCCGGAAGGCTTCCTGGTGGGCTGTGTGTGTGTGAACGCAGAAAAACACAGATTTAGATTCCAGGTAAGAATCGGGGCCAAGCAGAACAGGATGCAGGCCTCGGGGAGCCCATGAGGAGCACAGGCCCTTCCCCAGGCCCTCAACCCCGGAGACCCTGCAGGGGACACTGAAGCACCCCCTGCCCCTGGGACTCATTCCAGCAAATTCTGCCTGAATCTCCAAGGACAGACTGACTCTCTTGGATGGCAACTAATTTTAAAAGGAATTTTGCTTGGGCACCAGGAAGTACTCGGGTTCTATGCATCCGGAGCCTAGTGATGCCCGTGGCCTCTCGCACCCCTTTGCCCAGTGCCCCGGGAGGCAGGGCAGCCTGGCACGGAGGCAGGCAGCGCCCCGTGGCAGAGTGGAGTCTGTCCTGCCCCTCGGGCCTCACCCGCCAGGGGTAGACCACCTCCTTGGCACAGTGGGTCTGGGTGCAGCCCAGGAGGCTGTGCAGGGCGTGGGCCACGGCGTAGACGGCCGAGTACACGCTGTAGACCACGCGCTCCCCGGAGCTGGTGAGGATGGTGTTGAAGGACTCGGTGATGTTCAAGCAGCCGTCGCACTCCTGGTTGCAGGTGGCCCGCGAGCTGGTCCTGTTGGGGGGCGGCGGTCCGTCCTGAGCGCGGCGCATGCGGAACTCGCTGAAGCCCAGCATTGGCACCTCCTGGGTGGTGATGCCCAGGAAGGTGCCCGTGTGGCGCAGCTCGGTGAGGTTGTGCAGGACGGGGTCGATGGCCCAGGACTCGGAGGCGATCCACACGGTGCCGGTGATGTTCCAGCGCAGCACCTGGTCGAAGAAGACGTGCAGGGCCAGCTCGGGGGAGAAGACCACCACCACGCGCGCCGTGGTCTGCTGCAGCTTGAGCAGGATGCCGCTCAGGTGCGCCCGCTGGTCGGGCGTCAGCGTCTGGTCAGGCTCGGGCATGGGCAGCACCTCCTGGAAGGCGATGCAGATGTCGCCGCCCTCCGCCAGCCGGTCGCTCAGCCGCTGGCTGTTGTCCCGGCCATAGTCGTCGTTGCTCACCAGCACCACGATCCAGTTCCAGCCAAAGTGGAGCATCAGCTGCACCATGGCCTCGATGTGGTGGCTGGCGCCGGACACCGTGCGGAGCATGGCCGGGTAGCGCTGCTTGTCACGCAGCTGGTCAGAGATGGCGCTGTAGGTGATCTGCCGGAGGGAGGGGTGGCCGGCGTTAGTGAGGCGCCCACGGGGAAGGGGGCCCACCTGCCGTCATCACCTTGGTGACATTTGGGGAACACGTGCTGCAAGCCACTCCAGGGCTGGGTATTCACACCACCACTGTCAGGGTCGTCCTGCAGTCATATGGGAGCACCTACTGTGTGCTGCACCAGCTAGGTGCTTTGCATCAGCAGCATTGTGATGATATCATTGCAATAGCACTTATTGAGCGCCTACTGTGTGCCACACCGGCTAGGTGACACTCACCATCATCATCACAGTCAGCAGCTGACAAGCACTTGGCTAGGCATTGTTATCCTCCCTGCCGCCCAGCAACATTTCCTGAGCACCTACTGTGTGTCCCTGAGCACCTCCGTCATCCCCAGGCCCATCCGCAGGCCCCCTCTCTTCCCCTGGCCTCCCGCTCCACCGCTTGGTTTTGTCCCCGATGCGCCTTCTGTTCCCTTGTGTTGCTGGTTCTTTTCCATCTGCCGTCCTTCCGGGGGTGACCCCACACCGCCCGGTGGCGGTAAATACCGTTTCCATGCCAACACTCCTGGCATCCACCAGGTTCAGGCCTCTCGGGGACACCAGGCTGGCTTTGTGACAGCTGCTGACCTCTCAAACCTCACGTGCCCTGACTGCGCTGGAATCCCACAAGGCCACAGCCCTGCCCTCCCTCAGCAGGGAGCCCGTCCTCATCCTCGCCTCTCACCAGGCCGCATTCAGTCAGAAGGTGTCCATCCGAGACCTGCCACCGCCCCCCGGGCCCAGTTGGGCCATCGTCATCCCCGGCCTGGATTTCCACGTGGTCCTCGCACCTTCCCCCGTGCAGCCCAGCTGACCCTGTGCACACGGGCCACGGGCCACGCCGCTGCTCGGTGCAGAAACCCCCCAAGTCTCCTGGCGCCACTCGGGAAAAGCCAGAGGCCTTCAGTGGCCCCTAAGGGGCCCATCGAGGGCCCACCCCCTGCCTCCCCGACCTCTCCTTGTCCCCCACCGGGTCCTGGTGGCCCAGTTCTGTGCAGCTGCTTCTTCCTGGAAGGTGCTTCTCCCAGGTGCTCTGAGCCCCTCCCTGTTGAAGCCTGCACCCTCCCTGCACCCCGTCTCCCCCTCTGCCCCTGCCTCCCGCCCCACTGCTCGACTTCGCCCTGTATCCACTGAGCGTCTCGCCTTGGAACATTCTGGAGCACCGATTATTTCACCTGTTGTCTCCCTCCCCCTAGAAGACAGACCCCAAGAGGACAGTGGCTTTGCTTCTTTGGTTCCCGGCTGTATCCCCAGCACCTGCCACAGCACCTGGCGCACAGTAGGTGCTCAAGAAATAGTTGTTCCCTGAATGACAGGATGGCTTCAGTCCTGGACTAGATGCTTCCCACACAAACATGAACACTTCCTGAGCACCTACTAAGTGTCAAGACCCTGAGTTAGGTGCTTTTACTTGGTAAAAACTACAGCAATGATTCCAGTTGTTATAACAACCTACTGTGTGCCAAGCCTTATGCCAGCTGCTCTCTGATGAGTAGGCACTCTAAACCAGTACTGGGCTGGGCACTTTCAATCATGATGACGATGACAGTTTTAGCAGTGGTTACCTAATGGCACTTTCCTGAGGACCCCCATGGGGCAGATCTTGTGCTGGGCACTTTCACAGAACATTGAGCACCTTGCGAGTGTTCATTCCTGAGCTCTACTTAATAACCATAGCATTACTGACCACCTACTATGCTCTGGAAACTCTTGCGGGTCAGACTTCACTCTGCAGACAGGCCTCTCACTTTACAGGTGGGGAAACAGGCTCAGAAGGGCTCAGGGGTCTGCCCAGGCCGCACAGCAGCCGAGACTCGGCCAAGATGCACCCCAGGCCCGTCGGCCTCCAAAGCCTGGGCGGCCTCCCCCAGGCTGGGACTGGTGGGGGAGGGTTCTGAGCCTCCTGGGTCACCACCTTTCTGTCCCCTGCCCCGCCCCTTCCCCCAGGGTCCGGCAGCCTCACCTGTGGAAGGAGAAAGAGGGAGAGGAAGTTGGCCACCGTCTTGGTGGACTCGGAGTTGTCAGGGCCAATGACAGCCACCACGCGGGGCACATAGTCGCTGTAGTCCTCGAGGATGGGCAGGAAGTAGTCCTCCTGCGCCAGGAAGTAGAGCACGGGCTGCACGTTGTTGGAGAGGTAGCAGATGTCCACTATCTCGTAGCCCAGCAGCAGCCCGGGCAGCAGGCTCGTGTGGTTGTTGATCTCCTCCACCGCGAAGCGCATGGCCTGCATCAGGTTGGAGCCCAGCACCTTCAGGTCGTACCTGGGGGCCACGGCCAGGTGAGGCGGAGCGGGCGAGCAAGGAGGGGAGAAGAGCAGAGGGAGAGCCAGCCCTCCTCCCCCCACGAGAAAGCCAAGCCCCAACCAAGAGGAGCCGCTCGGGAAAGTTCTGGCACAGTCCTGCCACCATACCATATCCCAGGGTCACTCTTTGCCCTGTGACCCCCACACTGAGATCCCTGTAGCCACCCTCACTAACACTCCGTCACCCACAGACAACTCCATTATCTACTGTCACCATCATCACCCCGTACATGTAATGGCCACCATCACCACCACCACCACCATCACCATCACCACCACCATCACCACCATCACCACCATCACCATCACCACCACCATCACCATCACCATCACCACCACCACCACCATCACCATCACCACCACCATCACCACCACCATCACCATCACCACCACCATCACCACCACCACCATCACCACCATCACCATCACCATCACCACCATCACCACCACCACCATCACCACTACCACCACCACCACCACCACCATCACCACCACCACCACCACCACCACCATCACCACCACCACCATCACCATCACCACCACCACCACCACCATCACCACCATCACCATCACCACCATCACCACCACCACCATCACCACCATCACCATCACCACCATCACCACCACCACCATCACCATCACCACCATCACCACCACCACCACCACCACCACCACCATCACCACCACCACCACCATCACCGTCACCATCACCACCACCACCACCATCACCGTCACCACCACTACCACCACCACCACCACCATCACCACCACCACCACCATCACCACCATCACCACCACCACCATCACCACCACCACCATCACCATCACCACCATCACCACCACCACCACCACCACCACCACCACCACCACCATCACCACCACCACCATCACCACCACCATCACCACCACCACCATCACCACCACCACCATCACCATCACCACCATCACCACCACCACCACCACCACCATCACCACCATCACCATCACCACCACCACCATCACCACCACCACCACCACCATCACCACCATCACCATCACCATCACCACCATCACCATCACCACCATCACCACCATCACCATCACCACCATCACCACCACCACCACCACCACCACCACCACCATCACCACCACCACCATCACCACCACCACCACCACCACCACCACCACCATCACCACCATCACCATCACCACCATCACCACCACCACCATCACCACCACCACCATCACCATCACCACCATCACCACCATCACCATCACCACCATCACCACCACCATCACCACCACCACCACCACCACCACCACCATCACCATCACCACCACCACCATCACCACCACCACCACCACCATCACCACCATCACCATCACCATCACCACCATCACCACCACCATCACCACCACCACCATCACCATCACCACCATCACCACCACCACCACCACCATCACCACCATCACCATCACCACCATCACCACCACCATCACCACCACCACCATCACCACCACCACCATCACCACCATCACCACCACCACCACCATCACCACCACCACCATCACCATCACCACCATTACCATCACCACCATCACCACCATCACCACCACCACTACCACCACTGTCACCATCACCACCACCACCACCACCATCACCACCATCACCATCACCACCATCACCACCACCATCACCACCACCACCATCACCACCACCACCATCACCACCATCACCACCACCACCACCATCACCACCACCACCATCACCATCACCACCATTACCATCACCACCATCACCACCATCACCACCACCACTACCACCACTGTCACCATCACCACCACTACCACCATCACCACCACCACTGTCACCACCACCACCACTGTCACCCTCACCACCAGCACCAGCCCCACAATGCTCCTCCACCAGCACCACGGCATCAACAGCATCAGTCTCGCCACCCACACCTGCCACCAGCCTCGCCGTCACTAGACTGCCCTTCACGTCACGGCATCAGAAGACCCAGCACCTCGCTCAGTGTCATCACCGGCACCTTCCCTCGCCACTCAGTCCAGCCTGTCATCTGGTGCTGTGTCAGTGGGGTGCGCCTGCGGTCAGCCCTCGGCCGCCTTTCTCCCTGCCCCTCCCCTCTGCCCCCTGGAACGCTCCCCTTCGGTGGCAGGGTCACTATGTCATCTCAGGCTGGCTCCAGCATCTGGCCTCGTGCTGGCAGGAAGATGTCCCCTGCCCCATGTCTCGGTGGTCTGTCATCCCAAGGGGCTCATGGAGGAGGAGCCAGAGGAGACTCTGCAGCCCTGGAAGCCCCCCTGCCCCCCGGAACACGCAGGCCTCTCGTCCATCTGAGAACCCGCTGAGGAGACCACATCTGCCTCCCAAGGGCAGGCCCCGTCTGACCGGCCTGTGTGGTCTCCCTGGCGTCCCCCATTGCCAAGTTGGGAAGAACGGTATTGATGGTCCCTAGGACCCCTCTAAGCTCCAGCGTTCTGTAACGCCACAGACAGAAGTGACATTGGGAGGACCCAGGTCTCAGGGTCACAAAACGCCATCGTCAGAGATTCAGTTATGTGGACTGTGCGTGGCCTCCCAGGGCACCTGCAGGCTGGACCCAGACGAGGGGGCCTGAGACGAGCCCCCTAAGGCCTCGCCCTGGCCCAGCCTCCTGTGGGCCGCAGGCCCAGCCCTGGCTTCCCACCCAACGCCCGCCACCTCTCCCAACCTCCCACCGAGACTCACTCCTCACACTTGGGCACCTGCAGGACATTGAGATGCGCAGGGCCCTTCATGTTGGCATGGAGGGTGAAGAGACCACCCAGCAGGTAGTCCCCAGCCAGATAGAACTCTGAGTTCTCGGTGGTCCGGGTTGGCCCGGCCAGGACCTGCAGCAAGAAGATTAGGGAGAGGAACATCTTCCCCGGGCGCCCCATGGCCGTGAAGTGACAGTGTCGGGAGGAGGCTCTGCCTCCCTGGGGAGCCGGAGGCTTGACCCAGGACATTTGCACAGACATTTACATAGCGACGGTCCTGCTGCTGACTGTGGGGCACCAGGACAGGTGGGGGGCTTCAAGGCTCTGGGGACAGGAGAGGAGACCAGAACTAGGGAGCTCCTTCCTGAGAGCCCAGGGTGGCCTGGGAGGAGGACCCCATTTGGAGGGAGAAGGCACCCTATGACCTGGCCACACCCTCACGCCTGCCACTTGGCTGGGAACAAGTTTCTTCTCCCTAACGTTCAACATTTCAGAAGTTAAGGGCCCTGGCACTCCCAGGAGATGGGACAGGTGGCAAAAGACCCCAAGAGCCCAGCCAGACCAGGCCTGGCACAGGCACCCGGCCCACGGGGTGCTCCAGTGGCCTCTGTCAGCAAGAGCCAGGCATCGGGACGGCCTGCCGCCCCACCTCCTTCAGTGCTCCCAACAGCCAGGCTGTCCCCACCCCCACTCAGATGAGGAGACTCAGGCGCCGAGGAGCTGGAACTCAGCAGGGCTGGGGCTCAGGCCACGCAGTGTGACTCCATGACAGGTCACCCGCCTGCCATTCCACGTGACGTCACGGGGTTTCTGCCACATGGTCAGCCAGCCCCCCCAGCTCTGTGATGAGCCCCTCCGAGTGCCCACCAGGAGTCGGAGGGAGGAGACGCCACCAGGGGACACAGAAGGCCTGTCCACACGGCCAGGACAGGGCCTGGAAGAGGCTCAGGGGGCAAATCAAACCGCTCAGAGCTGTCCCTGGCATTCACCTGCTGACGGGAGAGGGGCTCCAAGATACGAAGAGGTGACAGAGACAGGTGACAGGTGACCTCTGTTGAGCTCCTCCTCCTCCAAGACACTGCCCCACACCTGTTCAAGGACCCGCTGGGCAGCAAAGCCCTCACCTGCACATTACCAGGACCTGTTTCCAGCCTCGCCTTGCAACCCGTTCCTGCTGGGAACCCCGAGGCAGCACGACTCTGACGACTTTTATTGGACATCAGCCTTGCTGTGTGACCAAGGGCAGGCTGCTTAACCTCTCTGAGGCTCTGTTTCCTCCCCGTTGAAATAAGGATCATAACTCGGCTCATGGGACTGTGGCGTGGGAATTAAATAAAATAGCACCTGCAAACAGCAGGGCTCAGAGCTGTCCCTGGAGAAAGGGGAGACGGCCAAAGTGCTAGGTTGTCCCTTCTTGTAACAAAACGGACAGCCACCAGGGACACCCCTGGCTCCTTCCCCAGCTGAGAGTGTCCCTCTGTGTCCCCAAAGTGTCTCATAGTTGCCCTGAGGAAGTTGGGTGTCTTCAGCAGCTCCAGAGCCGGGGACAGACCCCTCCTGGCCGATGTCCTCGAGGTGAGACCATGGGCATTTGAAATCAGTAGCAGTGGCGGCCGCGCCTGGGACCCCAGCGAGTCGGGAGGCGGAGGCAGGAGGATGGCAAGCTCCAGGCAGCCTGGCCAACGCGCGAGAGCTGTCTCAAAATCAAAACCAACAGGAGCGGGGCTGGAGCTTGGGGGTTCAATCCCTATCCCTGAAAAAAACACACAAAACCAGCCAGCGAGGCCTGGACTCAGGGTTCCCTGGTGATCTTGGGCCCGCCCTTGACCCCGGCCCACGTAGACCTGTGCTGCCACGAGGGGGAGGGGACAGTGCTGCCCTTCCCCCACTCGGTGCCCCCTCAAGACAGGTGTTGGAGGAGGATCGGCTCCGGGCACAGCCACAGGGAGGCGCTATGATGCACGTGTCACCTGGGAGGACACAGGAGCTGGGGGTCCTGGGATGCTCTGGAGCTGGGGAGGCCATCGGTGCAGTGGGCTGGACTGGCCATGACATGAGAGCCAGGGACACACAAGGGACAGACCTCAGGGCCCCTGCAGGGCAGCCCAGGTGGGCAGGCGCCCCGAGGGGCATTTCAAGTCAGAGCTGAGGCGGCTGCAGAGACGCTCACTCCCATCACGCAGACAGGGAGACGAGGTCCAGGGGGCAGTCACCCAAAGTCCAGGAAGGCAGGCTGACTTCCCTGGGTCCCCCAGGCCAATCACACGCGCCCCTGAGGTCGGGTGAGGAGGAGGATGGCACCGGCCAGTTGAGGCTCCTGAGGGGAGGCCGATCTGTGCTGTGGGAGCTTCAGTGTCCAGCGACTGTGATGAGCTCAAGGTGTTTCTACGGTGACGCATCTTGAGGGCTCCCCACCTGCCAGCTCCTGTGCTGAGCATGGCTACGCTCTGTCACCTTAGGCTATTCTACCTTTCAAGGTATGACCGCTATCTTCCCATCCTGCAGAAGAGGAGACTGAGGTTCAGAGAGGGGCAGTGACTCAGTCAAAGCGACCTACCAGTTATACAGACTGAAGCTGCCCAAGGCTGGAATGGGACCCTACAGGATCCACGGGGACTGAGGGGTTCCAATAAAGAGGAACAATGGGGTTCCCCTGAGCAGGCTGTCAGCAGGGACAAATGCTCTCTCTGAGCACTGGAAGATGTCCCGCACCTGGCTTCTGGTCCAGCTCTGCCCCCATCCCAGGGGGACAGAGTGGATGCCATCCAGTGTCCTCAGGACGCCACGTTGGTGATCGTCATCCAGTGATGGCCTGCACCTTGAGGTGGACCAACAACCCTCAGAGCCTGGTCCAGGACCGGATGTCCCTGGGCTCACACTGTGTGACCACTGGTCGCCGTGGTGACAGCCAGCCACGACAGACTTATGCAAAACCTGTGGGGAGGCAGGGAAGGGGAGGGGTGGGCCATGGAAATGACCAGTCCAGAAGGTGCCCATTTGCCTTGGCATCCGCTCCCTGGTGCTGTGGAGAGGACCTGGGCGCAGGCTGGAGGGGGCCGCCCTGCACTTCCTTCCCCCCAGGCCCTGGTGGTGTGTGGGGCTGGGCCCGGGGCAAGGCTGCGGCCCCCCACCCTGTCTGTCTTCTCCCACTTGCTTCTCCGCCCCTCCTGCCGGTCCCTTCTCCCAGCACACCCTCGGCCAGGCCACGCTGGGCTGCAGGGAGCCCAGAGAAGGGCGGGGGGACAAGCTGCTCTCCAGCCTGCTGGGGAAGGCCCGCTGGGGAGGCCTGAGCCGCAGTTCTCAGAGGCTCAGCCCCAGCAGTCTCCTCATCCTGCCCCTCGGGGGGGCGGAAGGTCAGGCTGGCCCCAGGGCTCCCCTAGGACTTCCCCAGCCGGGTGACTGCTGTGGCGTGGACACTGCTCCTCCCGCCTCACCAAACCTGCCTGGGTCCCTCGCTACCTCCCTGAGCCTCAGTCTCTCATCTGTAAAATGGGGCTAAATATGTTCACCTCGGTCCCAGGCTGGCGTGGTCCAAGAAAATCAGTGCGAAGACCTCCCTGCCAGTGGGTTCTCAGCTACACCCGAATCGCCCCCTTCCTGGCACGCGTGTTTCTGGGATGCAGACACGTCACAGAGGGTGGAATTGCTAGTTTTCGTTCATCAAGCGCCCTTATGCAAAATCTGTGGGGAGGGACCTTATTTTTAAACTTTTCACTCCCTCCTCAGCTTCCTGAGAATGTCGACCCCCGAGCTGGGAGGTCAAGGCACAGGGAAGAGGGTCAAGGCCAGGGATCCTGTCCCAAGCCTGTCTGGCTCTGGGGCTGGTTATGCCAAGTGCTTGTCAAATGGAGATGTGGGATGTGTCATTCGTTCCTGGTGACCCGTTCCCCTGCCTGGGCGTCAGTGTCCCCGTCTGTAAAATGGAAACACCGGAGCTCCCTGGGTCTGTGCAGAGGATGAGACGTGGTGTCTGAAGCATTGGGCTCGATGCCCGGGCATGGCGCGTCCAGCTCAGTACAGCCTCTAAGCAGAGCCCAGGACTGCTGCGGAAGGCCAGGGCCTGCAGAGGGGCCGGGCCTGCACCTGACCTCCTCTGCCCACCCCCGCTGAAGCTCGGGCCAGACCAATGGCCTGGAGCTGGCCCAGGTGGCCACTCATTTCCTTAGAGGGCACGCACCACTGGAAGCCCGTGGGACAGCGGTGGCAGGGATGTCCGGCCTCAGTCAAATGGTTCCGCTTCAACCCAGGCTACGGCTGGGCTCCTGGCCACAGCAGGGAAATGAAGGACTCCTTGGGTGACCACGGACACGGGGACTTACGGTGGTGACCATGCAAAGAGGCCCGAGTTCCCCGGGCAGGGAGCAGCCGCTGGGCCTCGAAGGCCACCAGCCCCAAGCTCAGGGTGGTGGAGGGCCACGGGAACAGAGTGAGTGGCAGTTTTGTCACCCCTTGGCCCAGCGAAAAGGACACGGAGGTGGGTAGGGGGGATACAATGGCCCCGGCAGAGCATGCGGGAGCCAGGGGCCTGTTGGAGCAGCGGCCAGGCAGCAGGAGCCGCGGGCCCAGCCTGGGTTCAAGCCCACTTCCACTAACCAGTCACATGACCTTGGCCAGTTCTTCCACCTCTGACCTCCACCAACCCTGCCACAAAAGCTGAGAGTGACCGACCTGGTAAGGTCGCCGTGGAGGCTACACGAGCTGGGGGTGCCACTCAGGGGCAGAGCACTGGCCTAGCACATGAGGCCCAGGTTCGTCCCCAGCACCACACGGAGGCTGCATGAGCCAGTCTGCCAAGACCCAGCCAGCTCTGCACTGAGTGACCTGAGCAAGTCACATGTGGCCCTTGATCCTGAAATGCCAGCCTTCCCCTCCATCTGCTGGGGTCAGGGCGCCCCAGGTACCGTCCTCTGTCCCGGGGCACACCCTCGCGTGGGCTCCCTGTCTGGAGGCCAGCCCCGTCTCACACAAATCAGCGGTGGCCACGAGGGAGTCGGGATGCGCCTGCCGAGGAGCCGCGGGCCCCCGCCTCCCCAGCTCTGAGACCCTCCATGCCGACGGTCCTGATGGGGGACTATGGAGGGAGATGTGGGCTAGAAACAGCCCTCCTCTGCTACCTGAAGGTGGAGACGGGCCAGGACACGTCCCTCCAGAGGTCAGCTGGCCTGCCTGGGCCTGGGCCTGACCAGGCTCCAGCCAACGGGCCGTGGGTGCTCCCCTCCGCGGCATTGGTTGAGTTGAGCAGGTCTCCTCAGGGCGGTCAGCACCAGGTGTGGACGTCAAGGTCGGGGAGAGAGTAGTTTGGGGGCCACACAGAGCTGGCTGATTCCCAGTGACACCACACCCCTTGGCAAGTGCCCCGACTCTCTGCACCCCAGTTTTGTCATCCACAAAATGGGAGTGTGGCAGCCCGACTCGTAAGACAATTGTGACTGAGGAGACAGATGCAGAGACAGGGGTCCCCAGGAAAAGACCCAACAAGAGAAATCAGAGAAGACAGGCGCACACCTGTCATCCCAACAACTCAGGAGGCTAAGGCAGGAGGATGGTAAGTTGGAGGCCAGCCTCAGCAACTTAGAGAGACCCCATCTCAAAATAAAAAGGGCTGGCTATGTAGCTCAGTGGTAGAGCACCCCGGGTTCATCCCCAGCGCTGGGAACACACACACACACACACGAGAAAGATCTTAAGGGATTGGCTCATAGGACCGCAGATGATTCAGGTTTAAAATCTGCATAGCGGGCAGGCTGGAGGCCCAGGAGGAGACCGCTCATGTCCAAGGGCACTCCACTGGCAGAAGTCCTTCTGTTCATTCTTGTTCTATTAAGGCTTCAATTGATCATGGGAGGTCCACTCACATTATGAAGGATGATCTATTTCCTTTTTAAGTTCTATTAATTTAAATATTATTCTTATCTAAAAAATACTATCACAGAAACATCCAGAATGTTGAGTCAAACATCTGGGTGCTGTGGCCCAACCAAGCTGACATAAAATCAACCAATCATCGAGTGACAGTGGTTGCTGTGACCACAGTGGGTAACGGGAAGCATTTTCTACCTTTGGTGCTGTTCTAAGCACCTTATTCCCTTGGTAACCCATAGGTGTGTACGTGAGGGGATTAATGTTTCACTGATGAAGAGACAGACGGTCAGAGAGGTGGCAAATCTTTTGCAGATCACCTGACTGGGAGGCAGTGAGCCAGGATTTGAACCCAGGTCCTCCAGCTCCAGTTCCTGCCACCTCCAGAGAGACTCGCAAATATCAGGGCCTCCCCTCCCTCCCCTCACCTGAGGGCACTGGGGGGCTACCGACTGCACACTGGCAAGGCCACCAGGCTTAGAAGGGAAGGTCCCCGGCCCTCGCCATCCCCACAAAGACCAGGCTCTGACTAGGTGACAGGCATTTTATTGGGTGGCACGGTGCACCCCGCCCCCACCTCACAGTGTAGAACCAGGACTCCGCCAGCTGCTCCCACAACCCCCCACCCACATGGGAGACAGACAGATTCTGAGGGACACAGAGCCCACGCCCAGGCGGCAGGGGTGTCCACCTGGGCTGGGGGCCACGGGGTCAATCAGGTCACTTAGGAACAGCCACACCAGGGTCCCAGCATGCCCTGGGACGGGAAAGTGGCTCCTCCTGAGCACCAGCACCCAGCCTGGAGGAGTCACCCTGGCTATCGACTGGCTGCCCCCACGACCGGGCACTGAGGGGCGAGCCCCAGGCCACTCACACTAAGGAGAGGGTCCACAGGGGCATCAGCATGTGCCCGGGCAGAATGGGCTCTGCAGGGGACTCCTGGCCGGAGACAGCCCTGAAGTGGACGTCTCTATGGGCGGGACTGCAGGGCTAAGGAGCCCAAGAACAGAGGCCCCCACAGGGTGTTGTGGAATCAGCCCACACAGGACCGTCCCTTCCCCCACGGCGGCGGCAGGTGGCCAGGAGCGGCGGGCCTAGGCCAGCACGGCCTGGAGGAAGGCACGGCGTGGAAGGCGTCTGGCTGGGCGCAGGGCCCTGGCTCAGGTGGGTCTGGACACAGCCAGGAAGGTGAGAGGCCCAGGCCACGGAGGGCAAGGTCAGAGGCGCCGTCCGAGCCACACCTCCCCTGGGACACCTGCAGGGGGAGCCGGCGAGCAGTGAGGCTCCCTGGGGCCCCGAGCTGCCGCCTTTCCCCACAGGGTCCCAAGAGCTGCTCCCTCTGTCCCCCATGTCCCTGAGCCCTCGGGCCCAGTGCGGGAGGGGGGCAGACAGAGAACCTGCCGGACACCAGGGTCATTCCTGCCAAATGCGACTTCCAGGAGGGCCGACAGGAGAGGGGACAGTGTCCTGTTCCTCCCCAGGCACCCGACACCAGTGACCAGGAGGGCGTCCAGCGTGGCTGTAGAGGGGAGCTGTCCGCGGGAGCTGGCCAGGGGTCTGGGTGGACACGGGCGATGGGGAGGCTCGGGGGTCACTGCATATATGAGTAGCGCCAGTCCCCCAGGGGCGCGTGCGTCTCCTTGATGACCTGGGGCGACGTCCAGCGCAGGATGTAGTGGGGACCCCCCGGCTTGTCGTTGGTTCCTGTGGAGAAGACGGTTCTGGTTTTCTCAGAAAAGACGAAGGCAGAGGAGCCAGGGCGGGCACCAGCGTGGGCAGCGGTGGCGGGGGAGGGCGCTCCCAGCAGCCAAGGCCCAGAGCGCACCTGGCCATGTGCATGGGAGGCGGGGGCTGATGGGCAGGCGGCAGGGAGCGCTGAGGGGGCACTGACGGGGCCGGACACCTGGTGTGTCGCAGACAGGAGGGAATGTGCCTCTGGCCCTCACGCCGGGAGCAGCCGCCCAGGAAGCCACCCACGTGTCGGAGGCTGGACCTTCAGCCCCTGGTCACTGGGTGGAGACGAGGCTGACTGCGGCTCTCATGGCCAGACTACGAAACGGAGCCCCCACAGACCCGGGTTCGAGTGTTCCCATGGACAAGCCCATCCTCCCGAAGGGAGGGTGCATACGGACGCCATGACTTGGGAACCTTCTGGCCTTTGCCCTTTCATACGGCTGTTCACCTGAACCCTTTAAAACAGACCCTGTGCCAGGTGCGGTGCTGCACACCTGCAATCCCAGCCGCTTGATGGCTGAGGCAAGAGGATGGCAAGTTCGAGGCCAGCCTCAGCCATTTAGCAAGGCCCTAAGCAACTTAGGGAGACCCTGCCTTAAAATAAAAAATAAAAAGGACGAGGGATGTACCCAGTACCTCGGGTTCCATCCCTGGTACCAAAAATAAATTAGAAAATTAAGTAGACTCTGTGAGGTCTGGGGTCGTGGCTTAGCGGTAGAGTGCTTACCTAGCAGGTGCCAGGTGCTGGGCTCAGTTCCCGGCAAAAAAATAAAACCCTGATAACATGTTCTTTGTCACCTCCTTCTTAGGGGTCCGAGAAGCACTTAGGAATACCAGAGGGCAGAAAGCACCTTCAAAGACACAGTAACAGAACACATCCCAAACCTAGAGGGATCCAGGTACAGAAAGGCCAAAGGTCACCAGGGTTAACTCAGCCAAGACATCGGATAATTCAGTTCTCAAAGGTGAAAGTTAAAGAAAAGCTTCTTAAGGCAGCAAGAGAAAAGGAACGATTCACACAGGGGCCTAATCCCTTTCAGGCCTGGGGACTGGCACGAGGTTCTCATGTTAAACTGGGCACAGTGGCACGCGCCTGTAATCCCAGGGACATGGGAGGCCGAGGCCGAAGGATCGCAGATTCAAGGCCAGCCTCGGCAACTTGGCAAGGCCCTGTCTCAAAATAAAAAATAAAGGGCTGGGAATGGGGCTCAGGGGTTAAGTACCCTGGGCTCAATCCCCAGTGCCCCCCCCAAAAAAAAGATGTTAATAAGAAAACACTGGAAAATATAAAACTGGTAAGAGTACGCGGACATATTCAGAACGCTCTAGTATTGTAAACACAGGGCAGAAACCATTTGCAGGGTTTCTAAGAGTAAAACCAAAAAAAAAAAGGACGATTCAAAAACAATGATAACTACGTTAATAAGTTGAGAGATAAGCAATACAAACAGGTACAACAGGACATCAGGCAGAGTTTCGGGGTCGCAGCGGTTGACTGGAGGGTTGTTTCCTTGCTGGGGATGAAACCCCCGGCCCCACACGTGCTAGGCAGGCGCTCGACCACTGTGCTACGTCCCCAGCCCCAGAGGGTTCATCATGATATCCTCTCTCTTATTCTTATGATCATATTAACTTACTGTCCTTTCAGAATCGTTGTTATAATCAAAAGATAGTTTTAAAGGCTCACAGGAATCCCAAAGCAAAAAAAGGTGTAGTAGTCACCAGAAATAAACACCGAGGAATCAACACACACCGCTAGAGAGAGTCACGTGATCACAAGGGAAGCCGGTGCGAGAATGAGAAAGAAACTACGATACAACTACAGCAGGACCTCACCTATTGATGATGACCTTAAATGTGAGTGGATTAAATTCTCTAATTCAAAGGCAAAGAGTGACTGAATAGATTCCCAAATAAACAAATAAATAAATAACGGCTGGGGTGTGGCTCAGTAGCAGATCGAATTGTCTAGCACAAATGAGGCACTGGGTTCGGTCTTTAGCACCGCATAAAAATAAACAAATGAAATAAAGGCATTCTGTCCATCTACAACTACAAAAAATTCAAAAAAAAAATTTAAACCCACCCACATGTTGCTCATAAGAAACTCACTTGGCCCCTGAGGACACACAAGCCTGAAAGAGACAGGATGGAAGGAGGCACCCCTGCAGACAGAATCCAAAGAAGCTGAAATAGCCAAACTTAGATGACACAGATTTTAAACTAAAGTAGTAAAAAGAGGGCTGGGGTTGTGGCTCAGTGACAGAGCGCTTGCCTTGCATATGTGAGACACTGGGTTCGATCCTCAGCATCACATAAAAATAAATAAACAAAATAAAGATATTGTGCCCATGTATAACTAAAAAATATATTTTTTAAAAAATTAGTAAAAAGAGACAAGAAAGGCCATTACATAATGATAAAGGTCAGTAAGAGGAAATAACTCTGAATAAATATGCAACCAATATTACAGCACCCAAACATAGAAAGCAAATGTTAACAGACCCAATGAAAGAGACACCCTCCAGTACGATACCAGTAGAGGACTTCATTCGACACCCCACTTTCAGCAATGGATAGATCAACCAGACAGAAAATAGACAAGAAACAGAATTAAATTGCATCCTAGACCAAATGACAGCCACAGAACATTCCACCCAACTACAGAGCACAGACCCTTCTCATCAGCACAGCAACGTTCTCTAGGACACATCACATGACAGACCACAAAACTAGTTTCACACACACACACCCCACTCCAAAATTTATTTTTGTGGTGCTAGTGATCAATCCCAGGGTCTTGCGCACGCCAAGCATGCACTCCACCACTGATCCACACCCAGCCCACAAGAAATCATTAAAAATAAAACTGGATCAAGTATCTATTTTCCAACTACAATGCAATAAAACTGGAAATCAAAATGAGAAAACCCCTGTGAGTACATGGAGATCGAATACCTTACTCTTCAATAACCAATGGGTCAGGAAGAAATCAAGAAGGAAATTTAAGAATCTCTTGAAACAAATGAAAATGGAAGCAAAACACCAAAACCTGAGGGATACGGCAAAAGCTGTGCTAAGAGGGGAGTTCATAGCAATCAGCACCTACGTTTAGAGAAGTAGAAAGGTACACACCAACAATCTACCCCTGGGCTGGGCGGGGCTCCGTGGCAGAGCACTCACCTGGCATCATGAGGCACGGGGTTTGATCCTTAGCTCCACATAAAAATAAAATAAAGATATTGTGTCCACTAAAAAAAAAAACTAAAAAAATAAATATTTTTTAAAAAATCTACCACTACATCTCAACTTGAAAAAAGAGAACCAAACCCAGAATCAGTAGAAGGAAAGAAGAATAAAGATTAGAGGAGAAATAATTAAACAGAGATTTTTTAAAAAATGGAAGAAAGAGAGAGATTGAAGAAAAGAAGGAAGGAAGGAGGGAGGATGGACAAACCCTTAGCTAGACCAGGAAAGGAGAGAGATTCAGACAAGACCAGACAGGAAAAGGGAGACATTACAACGGACCCCACAGACCTTCCGTGATGACGCCAGGATCACTAAAGAGCGTCATGGACAACTCTATGTCAAAAACACTGAGGACCCAGGAGAAGCAAATCCTGGACGTACACATGCCTTACCCAGACTGTATGTTTTGTTTTG